CCTTGCCTGAACCAAACTTGCATGGATGATACATCATGGGATGGACACTACCAGATTTGCTTCGGATGCTGGATCTGACCTATAATTTCATTCCAAAATAGCTATACTCCCTGCTTAAACCAAACTTGCATGGATGATGCATCTAGGGATAGACACTATAAGACTTGCTTCGGATGCTGGATCTGACCTGCATATTTATCCCCAAGTAACTATAAGCCCTACCTGAACCAAACTGATCAAATTTTATACACATACAAATTTTCATGTTGCTTTATTAATATATCCTCGGTGGGGCATTCATGTCCTATGGACATATTTCTAGTCTTTTAATGCATTGATATGTTTTAATTAACAACGATAAAACATATCAATGCATTAAAAAAATTGCTAGTTAAATCCCCTACAGTTGGTTATACATGTAAACAAAACACTGATCTCGATGAACTTGTCAATCATGACGTCTTTTTGGTAAAAATTTCGTATTTCATGTGCCATGTGTGCTGTGAGAGGCAGATATAGGAATTTTTTAACAATGAAAAAAGCGTTTCCGAATAAAACAGAATATCAATAACAGGTTTTAAATAGGCTATTAATACCAATGTATATCCCTTGTTTAGTGCGATTATTCATTATCTATCGAGAGAATGTATTTAAATATTTTTGTCGTTTTTTATGTTCAGGTTAGGAATATTTTACATCGAGGTGCCTCATAAAATCGTTCTTTCGCAAGGGCATACACTAAATAATTCTAAACCATTTTTTAAATATAGATAAAGGATATTTCCTTACCTTGAAAAGTACTACTGCTTTCCTTAAATGGAGAGCGTGAGCTTATAAGTACACAAAATATTTGGTAAAAGTCAAAAATATTTCGACATACATGTAGGCCAATTTACTTGAAAATTAACTATTCAAAAGCGAGTTCTTTTCAAAGCAGCAGCACTTTCCAAGAAGTACAAAGTATACAGAAACGATTAATAGCTTGAATTTTTAATTTGAAATAGGGTATGCCCTTGCTATATTGAAATTTGTTGATGACCTACATTCAGTACACGTACTATGCATTCATCACCTGACTGTCCATCGAATGGACCAAATTTCATGCCCTACAGATTAGGTCATATTATGCTATTTCCATAAGTATTTAAGATCTGTGATGATAAAACGAGTGAAAAATAATGAATTCAGTTTTAAAATCAATGCCCGTTTTTGAATTTCTATTTTCTGTTGATTTCTCATAGTGAGCCTTAACAGTGCTGCGTTTCTCAACACAAAATGTAACAACGAAAAATGTAGAAATCCAAAATTCGCATTATAATATTTTGCATTACTACATTTTGCATTGATCTCGACACAAAATGTAATAACGCAAAATGTATTAATCCTCAAAAGTAAGTTGTTACATTTTGCTTTATTATACTTTTTGTTGATTTCGATGCAAAATGTAATAACGCAAAATGTATTAATTAGGAATGTCAACGAGTACCCGGTTAACCTGGTACTCGATCGAACGTCCGAGTATCTAATACTAAAATCGGTATTCGGTTACTCGGTTATATTTTCAAATATTTCCGAGCAAGCACCTGCTACCTACCTGGCTTTTCTCACCTTCTACCCTTTAGTTTGCTTTAACTATTTTTCGTTGAACACCGTTTAAGGTCTATTTTGTTTAAATAAATTTTATAATTTTATCAATTCTTTAAAAAGCCTGAATTCTCGGGGAAAGAGGCAGATGGTATTGCACGTGCGATAGTTGATATGGATGCGTTTGATTACATGCCCATTAATGCAAATGGTTGAAGGCAAAGGCTTTTAAAAAACTGATGTCCATCGTTGCATCAAACTACAACATACCATCTCGTAACTTTATAAAATCTAGGATCGAAAAATGTACGACGATCGTAAATCCGCTCTGTTATAGAACTTGATCAAAATGATACTGTACGTGTACAAAAAATAGTGTAGCTCTGACGACTGATCACAGACACTTCGACGTCAAACGCGCATCAAAGAGTTACATTACAATTACGGAACAGATTTTTTTACAACACTGTGAAACATTTATTTCTCGTATTTATTTATCTCATAAATACATTAAACTTAAAAACATTGTTAGATTAAATTTCGTCGGGCACAAAGTATTCATAATTGTTACAACAGAAAAACTTGACGGACAAACCTCCCATCAGGCCATGTGGTTTTATTTCTACAAAAATTTACAAAGTTTTACAGTTATCAATTAACCTATTCATATTTATTAACACTTTAACCGAGTACCCGTGTACTCGATCGGAAAAACATCCGAGTAGCTGAGTATTAAAAATGGACCGATCCGACATCCCTAGTATTAATCCTCAAAAGTAAGTTGTTATATTTTGTATTATTATACTTTGTGTTGATGTTATGTAATGTAATGTAATCAAACAAAATGTACATGTAATAATCCGGGTTTATTCAGTTTGTGTTGTTATTACATTTGGCGTCGTAACATACGATATAAACTAGGGTGCGCCGTCATAAAACTTTGAGAATTCTCCAAAAAATTATCAACTCAACTCTTAAGAATTACTCACCAGTGAGCTGAGAATTTAAGAATAAAGGAGTTTAAGGAATTTTTCTTTTTCTCAACTTTTAATAACAGCCGCTGAGTCTAAGAATATTTGATTTGAGAAAATTCTCAGACTTAAGAGCATTCTTAGACTTAAGTTTGTTCCTATGACAGTGGACCCTGGTTGCCTTTTACGAATTATTAACAGTGAGGCTATTAAGTTATTTTAAGTATTCTTTTACTCAATAATCGTAACTGGAAAAGTTGACTGCCCTTAAAGGTACTCTATAATAGTACGACTTATATATTTTAATTGCATTTCACACAAAAATTAATTAAAAATCTCATTTCATCTAAAAGTTATTAAAATTCTAAATTTTTTGGCGGGTTTGATTGACACATCCTTGCACTTTTAACAGATTTTAACTTTATTCTTAATCCTGGGGAAAAGTGGCAGTCTTGTTGTGTAGTGAAAGGATGTGTCAATCAAACCCGCCAAAAAATTAAAAATTTTAATAACTTTTAAATGGAAAAAGATTTTTAATACATTTTTGTGTGAAATGCAATTAAAATATATAATTCGTGATATTATACAGAAAAAATGAAACTCAAATCTGTGTCCACGTACCCTTAAACATGTTAAAAGAAGCTTAAAGTGTTCAAAATTTAAATTTGACGTCATGCGGTTTGAGACGTTTGTGACGCAATTATTGTGATTTGGCAACCCAAATTTTACTATATAACATTTCATCTAATCAAAGTAAAGCTTAAGGTAGATCGCGGGTTTACTGTCTGCCTGAAAACATACTTTGAAAATTTGTCTGCTGAATCCTCTCGTTTCGAATTTTACTTTCTGAAATTTTTGTGAGATTCGTCTGCGTGGTTATAATGTTATCGTATTTCAAAGGCACTAATGTTGATGAGAACAGGTGACGCTATTACAATGAAATATATAGTAAATGCGCCTTTCTCGCCGGTAAACGTATTTTAAACCATGCCCATAATATGAAAACGGCGCAGACGAATTTTATGTTACTCAACACAATGAATATGAGATAAATTTAGAATAGATTTATTAAAAAAAAATAATATGTGTTCTCGCTCATTTTCTCGCAAAAAAACTTTAAAGTTTAACAAATTTGTAACAAACGTATATAATTTCATTAAGACGTTATGTAACGTTAATGCGACGTCATTATTTTCAGACGCCCCAGAATCACAATGTAATCAACAATTCAATGAAAATAAAACATGTTTTATCCGTATTTTTAATTTTTAATTGATTGATAATAAATGTTCATGTAAACATTATCATAATTTACAAAAATTGTCACACTTTTTTCAATGAAACACTGTCATGTTATTTGTTTTCTCGATAAACTCAAGCACTAACCCTGACATACTAGTAGTAGTATTTGTTATCTTTAGTAAAATGTGCCATGATTTTGAATCGAAAATGTTACAAGTTACAATTAATGAATTAAATGTATACCATGTATACTGAAGATCAGTAAATTAATTTTTGCTAGCACACTATCTATAATAAAGTTAGATAATAAATTAAATGAAATTATATCTATACAAAGAATGATGAATTATTACACTTTACTTTGAAAATAGAATCAATTTTAACCTTTCATTTTTTAACTTTATGTAAACTCTTAATTCTTATTTAGTATTGATTATTTATTGATTAATCCTTTATTTCTTTATTACAAATAAATAAATATTTTTACAGACAAAACAAACTTTAATGTTTGTTTTATTTTATGATGCATACTGATGGAAATACTTTTGTTTGTAGTTTGATACTGTAAATATAGTAAGCTTTTTACGTCGAATCCCATTGTGACGTCAGCAAACCCGCGATCTACCTTAAGAACCGGAAGGAATTTATTTGGAATTTAAAAATCAAGGTAAATTGCAAACTCGAATGATTCTTTTTATCTTATTCTAGATACGGGGTAAACCATGTGTATTGTATGTGAAGTCTGATTCTGTGGAGCTGTATTGGGAGACTTTAGAGGAGGAAATAGATTATTATCAAATAAGATATAAAAGTCTAAACATAAATGATAAATGGAAGTTTTGCAGTACAAATGACACAACGAACAGATTTACTGTAAGTGGGCTTATGGCAAATACCCCATATGTATTCCAAGTCAGAAGTGTTGCCAATGACATGGAAGGGGATTACAGTGAACAAAGTGATCCCATCAATACAGCCAAATCCTTAGCAACAAAAATGCTAAGTTTTTCTATTAAAATTCAAAATACAGATCCCGTAATGTACCAATTAGTAGCCGAGTAAAATAGAGAGGCCTGTAATCCTCATGCAAAGACAAGGCAGCTTATTCTAGGTATATTAACAATTGCCAAGTTTCATGATAACACAATATTGATGTTGTTATTTTTCATTTTATTATCCTAATATAAACATTTTATTGATGAGGAAACCCTTCAATTGGAAGTGCATGTGAAAAAACAATTATGCTTGTTGGTGAGTCAGGCTCGGGAAAGAGTACTCTGGTGGACAGTATTATGAATTATATTTTGGATTTCAGTTTTGAAGACCCTTTTCGATTCACGCTGGTCAAAGTAGATCGTGACGAAAAGAAGATTGATAATCACGTACTAGATATTTTTTTTTCAATAGTAGAAATTTGGTCATTGAAAAAAGGTAATTGTGATTGAGTGTGAAGAAGCACTAATTATTAAGTAATTGGGGTACTGAAACTTATTTGGCAGTCGTCAGTAAGATTAATTTGATAAAGTACATACCAAAAATATATTACTGAATGTCTGATTTTTTAAATAATTCATTAATTCATTAATTCTGCTGGCTAAAACAACTAAGCAACAAAATCACAGATGGCCTATTGGAAGGCATCCTCTTTTCACGTGTGGAGATAATTAATTAAGTTCTTTAAACAAATTATAGAAGTTTAATGTTGAGAGTATTTTATAATATTAAAAACAAAAAATAGAATGTGTATTTATGATTGTTATTATTCTTATGTAGGCAGAGTATGAAACAGAGTGGATCACCATATACAAGATCGCCCCACAGGAAGGAGGTCGACTGGACTACACTCTCAACATCATAGACATACCATGATTCGGAGATACACGTAAAATCCAGAAGAACAAGGCAATTGTTGATCAAATAAGTCATTTATTTTCAACTGAAGGCAAACAAGGCGTATCATTCATAGATGCTGTTTGTTTTATTGTCAAAGCCCCTGACACACGTCTTACATCTACCCAGAGATATATGTTTCATTCAATAATGTCCCTTCTCGGAAAAGACATTGAATCAAATATTTTTACACTGATAACCTTTGCCGATATAGCAGAGCCTCCCGTTCTCTCCTGTCTAAAAGCAGCCAATTTACTTTTTGAGTCCTGGTATCCTTTCAATAATTCTGCTTTATCTACAAGCAATAAGAATTTGCAGAACACTTCTCTATCCCATATGTTTTGGGAATGGGGTTATGTGAGTTTTAAAAATTTCTTTGAAAAAATGAAATCATTTGAAACAAAGAGCCTTATGCAAACCAAAGACGTGATGAAACAAAGAGAGCGTTTACAGTCGGTTTTAACAAAAATTCAGCCCCTGGTCAATGCAGGTCTAATGAAACTTAATGAATTACAAAATACATTAAATCTTTTCAAAAAACATCAGAATGATATTGAAAGTAACAAGGATTTTACATACGAAGCAGAAATCACAAGGCAGATTAAGCTTGAACTGCCCATAGGGCAGCATGTTACCTATTGTCTCATTTGCAACATGTCTTGCCATGAAAACTGTGAATTTGTCGATGATGACCAAAACAGCCGTTGCTCTGCAATGGATTCAGAGGGTAATTGCAAGGTCTGTACCGGCAAATGCCATTGGAAACAGCATAAAAACGGAAAATATATTTTTAAATATATCACCGAGAAAAAAATGAAAACTAATCAAGAAAAGAAAAAACTTTACGAAAAGGCAATGGGAGAGAAAATGGCAAATGAAAAATATTTGAAAGAAATTGAAGCTGACATAGATTGCCTTGATGACACGATTAGTAGAATGATGGACGAAATGGCAATGTGCAAAAATAGGTTGAAAGAAATTGCTTTAAGACCTGACCCTCTCTCAACTGTTGAGCACATTGACCAAATGATACAAGCCGAAGAAATCAATAAGCAAGTAGGCTATGAAAAAAAGAATAAAGATGCTTAATGAATTCAAACAATTTGCCCAAATTAATAAAAGAGTCGAAAACCTTGGACAGAATATGCAGAAAGCTAAGGATGATTTATCGAAAACAACTGGTAGGAAAATGGAAAGAAAAACTATGTTGAGATCTGGAATTGACAGATTTAAATCCATGTTTACCTTTTAACAGCTCTTCTTATGACCTTCACTGGCTGAATTATCTCAAACAACTAGGAAAAATGCACACACTTTTTGTGCGGCGCAGTGTTGATATCTTAAATCCATGTTCAATATATTAGAAATGTGATCATAAGTTTTAAAAGATGAATATCCTATAAAAAAGACCAATAATACTTGTTACGTGACCCGATAGGCTTACGATTTCTAACTCTGCATCTGAGCCAAATGTTCAAGTGACCTTTTCTAGTTAATGTTTTTTTAACTATCTTCCCGTCTACAATTTATAAAAATAAGTTAAGGATCATGGTTTTGAATTGTTTTCCCTAAACAATTATAATATTTTTTTAACGTTATAGTTCAACCGTACTTTCTTTAACAAGTTATCAATACGAAAATGCTACCTGTAGGGTCGTGCAATTCATCCCCAATTCATGCTTTACGGAATGCTGACACAGTGTGAAAAACAAAGTGATTCAGTGTATACATAAAGTTAACGAAACTGTTAATTTGAACACGTGTTTTAAGTTGTGAATATTTCTTAGGTGACCCTGTGACATTTCAAGTCATGAGACGTCACTTAACTAGCTTTGAGGCAGCCCAAGCTGTAGGTATGCTTCAATCTGGCAGTACTCAAATAACTGTTGCTGCACACTTTAATATGTTCCAAAGTGTCATTTCACGATTATGGAATCGATTCCAATATAACTGGTACCGTTGCTGAGAGACCACGTTCTCTTCGTCCGACGACAACCACGGGTCGTCAGGACCGTTATCTGGTCAAGAGTGTGTGTAACACCACAGACAGTTCGAAACAGACTCCATGCGGCTAATATCCGAGCATTCCGACCTGCAGTTCGGCCCAAACTGACCCCAAGACACAGAACATCCAGACTCCAATGGGCACGAAACCATGTCAATTTGCAGCTGCGTCACTGGACCCCTGTTCTTTTTACAGATGAGTCGCGCTTTAGTGAAGACTTTCATAAAGGTCGTAGACGAGTTTGGCGTACGACCGGTGAACGCTATGCAGATTGCTGTGTTACTGAGCATGATCGTTTCGGGGATGGTTCAGTGATGGTTTGGGGTGGTATCAGTATAACTGGAAAACTGAGCTGCACATTGTTGCAGGAAATCTTACAGGGATGAGATATCGAGATGAGATACTGCACCCAGTCCCTATTGTCAGGTTGTATGCAGGTGCTATCGGTGATGACTTTATCTTAATGGACGACAATGCTAGACACACAGGGCTAGCGTCGTAACAGAATACCTTAAAAATGAAATCATTGTGCGAATAGACTGGCCCAGTCTTTCGTCTGATTTGAATCCCATAGAACATGCTTGGGACAAGCTACAGCAAGCCCTTTCAGTGCGCCCAGTACTCCCTAGGAACCGCGAGGAGCTTTCTGCAGCACTCGTCGAGGAATGGGCTAGATTGCCACAAATCTTCTTCCGGAGACTTATCCGCAGTATGCAGAGGCGTTGTCGTGCCGTTATTCAAGCACGGGGTGGCCATACAGCATATTGAACACATCAGAGCACTGTGCAAACGGTTACGTTTGAATTTACCATCCTTTACCAAGGCTGTTTTTCATTCTGTTTTAGGGGTTGTGTGACAATTCATCCCAATGCACGTTAACGCTTCATTGATTTTTGATAAACACAACAAAAATGTTTGTTTAGTTGTTAAAGATTGATATTATATACATGTAGTTATAGTTTAATATATTGTAATTTGTTGTAAATTAAATAATTTATTAATCATGATCCTTAACTTATTTTGTCTAGTGTATTTCCTTTTTGACAACTATGACATCCCCAGACCATATGCAGCAAACCTCGATCAGATTTAGCGCATTTTTTCTTGGGTAAACTACATATTTTCATTTTCTCCTAAGAAGCATATAGTATCGCTGAATAAAAGGCTTTCAAACGTGATCATTTCAAGGACCAATGTAACTTTGAAGGGAAAAGTAATCAAGAAAACTTTAAAAAAAGAAATAGGCAACGTCGTCTTAACCCTTCATCTCAAGAAACAATTAGACATAGAATATAAAGTTTATTTGAAATGTTCTCAATTTTCTTAAATAGTGGTTCCTGCGGTGGGTTGGAATCACTGTAAAGGAATTTAAAATTTATGTTGATTTTTGTTTGAATTTTCTTTTAAATCATCTCAATATCAGCAGAGACATAATTATGTCATTAAACATTCGAATGTCCTCCTTAAGTGACATTAAGTGACGTTTAAGAAGATGTAGTTTTCATCAGAGCACTTAGGGTAGTGAATATTTGTTCAAGAAAATGGTTTTAATTTACACATGGAAATATTTTGAGAAAAGTCTATCAATTTCTTCACATGTGCAAGCCTGAAACCCATTGATTTAAAGAGCTCACCAATGCTTGTCTTTAAGGGTGAGCTAAATAAATATATATATATATATATATATATATATATATATATAGTTTTGTGCCATGCGGATTGTGGGTTATTTTGCGTCTTTCCCACTCACGTTGTGGGTACCATGGATGGTTTATGGGTCATTATATATTGACCCACAAACCATGTGCCTAAAATTTTGTTTATGACAATAATATAGTAACTATATTCATTTTTTACAAAAAAAAATTTTTTGACCCATAATTACACAATCAAAAAATGACCCATAATGCAATTTTATATATATGAAATCTTACCGCTGAGTGCATCGGCAGGATTTTGCGCGTGTCCCACAATATTTTATATACTTTCCCCATGAGTATTGGAGTGATAAGGAGAAACGACTAGATTTTATAGCCTGATTTCAGTGAATCATTATTAAGTTGTAACGATTTTTTTTATTTATATGTATGAGATTTTATTTCAATGTACTACATTGTATAAATCTAAAAGAAAAAAAATAAGGCTAATTTATTCAAAACTTTTTATCGTACGATAGTTGTGTTCTTCTTAAAGTTTATATATCTAAATATAAATTCTTATAAAGATTTGAAAGAAAGCTTCAATAACACATTTTTTGAAAGAAAAAATGCGACTAAAATGTTACTATAAAGATCGCGCGTGAGAACTATGTGAATCGCGATGTTTCAATAATTAAAAAAATACGTTAGGTTGAAGTCTCAGAAAATCATTCACAACTTTAGGTTTATTCAGAAAAAAAATATCACACATTAAGATTTAAGGTAAGTGTAATCAAATCAACAATTATTTTACATTTTATAGATGGAAAAGTATATACTCAGTATCGGACGGTGTTCTTTATATCCAATGTATTGACCCAGAATAATGTATAGTTGCCTGTATTTGGATCCCGCAATGTCTATATATTTTTGGGGAGGTCAACATTACCGCTACACTGCAAAAATTTTCAATTCATTTACACTACATTTCTTTGAAATTAAATTTCGGGTGATCAATACCGCTACATTTTATCGATAAGACTATGGCCGATTAAAAATCATTACCGATACAAATCGAATCAGCCAGGAATGCCACAGAATTATTCTTGTATATTGACCCACAACTCGCTTCTGTACATTGATCCCGCAACATTATATATATATACTTATAGTTAATGACCTATAATTCTATCATACATACCTAATATATAAATCTTAAAAAATATAAATTAATTTAAAAAATAGAACATGTATGACAGAAAATGTCTCTTAAAATAAAAGTTGAACTTGGATTAAGTAATAGATGCTTGCTTTTATGTATAAAGAGTAAATACACATTCTGCTGCATCTGACGAAATATTTGTTTTTTAAGACATAGACACAGCGGTTCTTGATCATGCACAAATAAAAAAATATTGTCGTACTCGGTCTTCTTTGGTTTATGCTTAGTAAGATACATTGCTCAAATTTTATCAATTGGGCTTGGTTCCGGGATCGTGTATTTTTTTGTATTGTGTGATTAAATTAACTAAATATATTGAAAATATGAAATCAATGAAATCCATAGTTTAAAAAAAAAATCATATTTCAGAGAAAGGGTGACACTCGACCTCTTGAATACCAGAGAGAGTCTTGGTCCACACTATTCATAGGCGTTGCAGTCGTGGGTGCTAGAGAGGGCTTACCCCTCCCTCAACCAGAGTCCACTTCTGATAAGATAAATATAAAATATAAGGATTGCAAATTGTGGCTTACATTTTTTTTACCCCCCCCCCTTCCCATTTTAATTTGGTTCGATGTTGCGTAAATTTCATGTAAGTATCTCGTCAGAATTTTAAGCAAAGTGTCAAGGAAATGATGTACCCTCAAAATGAAAATTCACACAAAAAGATCTCGATTGAGTAGGACCCAATACTCGCTATAATTACTAGAAGACAATCTTTATTGTTGGACACTATGTACCCCTGAATAGGAGACTCTGCTTCCACACTTACATGTACTGCATAGATTTTTCCAAACCATTGAAATTGTGAGGAAAAAGGGGGGGGGGTGGTGACATTTCTTTTATAATCCCAAATGTATTCTTTCGAATTCAGATCCGGGAATTTGACAGTATTTCGTCATACAGATGCCTTTTGGTCAATATCCTTGGGTCTTTAGCACTTTAGTGCGCCGCTTTAAGGAAAATTCATATTTAAATTAAAGTAGATCTTAAATAAAGACATTTATTACAGTGAACACTTAGAAGTTTTGTTGTGTAAATGCAGTATACTAGTAGTCAGAATTTCAGAGATGTGATCGATTAAATCCCTATACGACAATCTTTAAAGAGAAATATTAAATTAATCAGATGTTATGTAAATACTGCCTGTCACAACGTCCCTGAGTGGAAATACCCCCCTTTCCCCTTCTCCAAATCGTCCTAGTATAATATGGAATTAAATAATGCATCGGATGTAGAAAAAAACTCTATATTTTATGTTTATATATTATTTAGGGCCCCCTCTACACC